ACAGGCTGCAAAGGTGGGTCAGCGAACTATTTTTTCCCCTTCAAAAAGGCCAAGTGCCCAAGGCTGCATTACAAGTTACAACATTCCAATTTTGTGACTGAAAAATCTGCATAACCCCGAGAGAGAGGCATTGATTGCTTCCCCTGAAAGGAGAAGGATTGAGCTCCTCTCACACCMCCCCATCGGCCCTTTTTTTTTTTTTTTCACATCCACGGCTTCCTTGGGGGGGAGAAGGCCCCCCACGAAGAACCCCCCCCCCCTCTATGATGCGCTGGGGTCGCCCGGTGGCCAACCGGGCGGGACGACCGGCCAGGCGGCCCGGCCCCCCGCCCGGGCGACGAGCCGGGCGCAGCCTAGTTTTCTAGTAATTTCTAGCTATCTATTCACCACCTGTTTCATAATCTCATTCCTTTCTAGTATCTACTTCCTTAAACCAGGTCCATATTGGACCGCACAAATAGCTCATCATTCACCACATAGAGCGCTTCTTGGTGATTGCATTTCCAGCATCTGAGAAATTACATTCACTTTTAAAACTGGATGCTGGCACACACAAAACTGCACGGGCTGCTTGAGCCATGATTGGCAAAGCAGCTGGCTTCAACACCAGCTGATGAGGAGTAGAGGCAGTCGATTCCGTCATCCCCCTTGCCTTCCATCATTGCAGCAGGTCTAAGTTACGTCTCTCTTCGTTTGTCAGTTTGAGATCAAAGTAAGCATCAATCTCTTGTTGTACTCGTTCGGCTGAAGTCAAAGGTGCAACATCTGCAGGTTCACTTGTGTCATCTTCATCATCATCTGAGTTGTCCAGAAAAGGGGCACCGAAACCGATCATGGGTCGTTTAGACACTTTATGAACTTCAGGGTCATGCTGAATTTCTCAATGCTCACTCTGAGTGTCACCACCTGCGAGGCTCAACATGATTTTCTTCAATTGATTTTTCCCCCACTTGACCTCGAAACAAACAACATCAAAATTCTCGAGACGATCCTTTTGTCGAAGATCAAGAAGAGCAGCAACAACATGCAGGTCCTTTATCGGCCATTTCTCCATCACAACTTCCTTAACCAAATTCTTGATACCTTGAGGTTGTTGGAATCTGGTGGGATGACAACCTCCTTTCCACTTTCATCAACTGTTTTCACTGATTGGGTTCGAATGTGACAATGGTGAAACAAAGAATGTTGTTCAAAAATAATGGTGCATGGTTGGGTCAAGGTACTTCTCAAACTTCAGAGTGGCTTCATGAAAACGACGTAAAAATTGAGAAAACTCGATCAACAAATTGCGGTCCACATTGGCCATCATGCTAAGACGGCTACGCTGCATCAAAATGTTGTTCACATCGACATAATTACTGTCCACATTGTCCAACAACCTCAACAGTGAATTCCATCTTGTCGTATTTTCCTGTTTCAGCGACATCTTCAGACTATTTTGCAAGTTTGCCTGCTTGAAATAACAAACCAATTCCTTGCAGTTCTCAATCAGGGCAAAAATTTCAGGTGCCTGATCTTCGAATCTGTAGAACTAAGCAGATCTGACACTGCTCTGAGCAGCGGTGGTTTTGTTCAGAACAGTTGTCAATACAGTGGCTATCTTATGGTCAGCACAAGCATGCCACTTGTATACACTCCTAATGCCCACTGCAACAGCGACATTTGACCCACTGTCTGAACACACCATGCACAGACTCGCATCAAAACACCCATGTCCCTCAAGACAGTCTTGGAACACCTTCAAAACAGCTTGTGCAGTGTGCGACTCTTCAAGAAAAACCTTAGCCTGAAGAGCCCTAGCGCGCAGCTTAAACTCTCTGTCTATATAATGGATGGTGACTGACATGAATGAGGTTTTTTTAACTGCATCTGTCCACAAATCCACCGTGAAGCCAGCGTACACATTATCAGTAAACTGCTGAGAGACTTTTTCTTTCACTGTTTGTCGAAGAGCATTCGCAATTGAAATAACCTAGCCCTTGACCGTGTACGCAAAAGGAGCTAATCTTCTAACTTTCGTACCCTTTTGCGTTGCGACACCAGTATTAATAAAAATTAACCCATTTATAGGAAACTTGGATCATCAACAATGGAGAATGGACGCAAATCCTGGCAACACATCAGAGCCGCCACCTTTGCGGCTTGTTTTTTTTGTGCAGCTGTTCGTTCTACTGTCGTTGCCATAATTCGCATTGTCCCTCTTCCACCTACCTCAGCTCTACACTTATGCTGATTCAACGAGCTCGTTCCGTTAGAAACTGCAAATGCATAGACCGTAAAACAGTCTTTGCGTGTGGTGTAACCGGTTCCATATTCCCTCACAGGAGTTCATCTGGCAAACAAACATGAGCAAATCGCGCACAACATGGCGATGTACTGAGGCAAACAAACATGAGCAAATCGCGCCCAACATGGCGCTGTACTGAGGATGTATTGTGGGCCAAGACCAACTTATTTCAGTGTGAGATGCATTGAGACCTTCAGTTTTGCCATGTCTGTCTTCGGACTTGGGGATCCACCTCCACCTTCCCACATTTTCTCCATATCCACTAGGAGGAGGGCAATGGAGATGACCAGGCACAACGAGAGGTAGAAGAGGAAAACTAGAAAGAAGAGGAGGAAACGGCCCACACAGTTCATGCAATAGTTGCCTACGATGTTCTCGGAGCAAATAGTACTTGTTCACGTTCGACAAGAGGCCTTCCACACTGCTCCCTCACAAAAAGACAGAAAAAAAATAAAACTGCTGCCTTGCTGTTGCCTTCAAGATCACAAAAAGACCAAAAGACCGAAAAAAAAAAGGCGGTGAATCTTCCCATGATGTACCGCACGATTCGTTCCCATTTTACACATTTGGTAAGTAGTGGAGGGAGACCCGTTGGTCTGCGACTCCGCACAGCGTCTTTTGCCCATTTTAGGACCTACTCCCACTACAGGTGAAATAGAACAACGGTAGGAAAACAAAAACGAGGGGGGGGATTTCTTACTAATTGGACCCCATTACCTGCCACATTGCCGGTGAAAAGGGCCTAGGCTAAATTAATATTGTAGCCTGGCCCTAATACTACCTAGTACCTACTACCTAGAAGGCTAGTACCTATACTCGTTTTATGGCCTACAGGGTTCTGGTCACCCAGGCTGAACCTCCACCCAGCCGTATCCGCCCAGGGAATCGAGACAACACCTAGCCATGCCCCACAGAAACTTTCCCACCCCACCCAGCCATGGCCCACAGAAACTTTCCCACCCCACCCAGCCATGCCCCACAGAAACTTTCCCACCCCACCCAGCCATGCCCCCCTGAAACTTTCCCACCCTGCCCAATTCCACCCAGCATATTTTCACACATATTCACACACAGCCGGACCACTGTGTATCCTTTGGGGGCATACCCGCACCCATCGACCTCTGGTCCCCATTGCCCTCCCTCCCTCCCTCCCTCCCTCTATCCATCCATCCAGAATGAGAGGCTGAACCGCTAATACAGGCGGACATATCATAGCCATGGCTACTACTCTGCTGTTGTATCGATTGTTGGAGGCGGTGTTCAGTGTGCTCTTAGATTGGTGTGATCCCAGCTTCATCATCATGCTTTCAACTCAGCTTACTCATGACTGGTCTTCAATCAGCTCTTGCATCTCCAATTTTTTGTGTTCTCACTTGCTGGTTCTTTGTGCTTCTTTCGTTTTCCCCATCACTCATGTCTCCAGTTGTGCTTCTTCAATTAGTTTCCATTCATTTCTCAAGTTGTCCAGAGACTGTCTTGAGTTGTTGATGTAGTTGACAGTGAGTGATGTACATAGAATTGCTTCGAGTGAGTTTGAAATCCGTTGATTGTGAGGTGTGCATTGCTGGGCGCACCAATGTCAGGGGCTGGATCAGCCAGGCGGAATGCAGACGCCTTTGAGGGGAGGCAACTTAAAGCCAGGCCAAGTATGGGCAGGTCTGGGTGGTGACACCAAGCCCAGTTACAGGGTGGGTGAGGTTGTGTTTGGGGGTGCTGGCGGGTCCAGGTGCTGAAAATTTAGCCCAGTTATGGGCAGCTCTGACTGAGGTCTTCTAAGGACGCACACGTCAGAAGTGCGGGCCTGGATTTATACGTTCAAACTGAGTCCAGCTGCAGCCGTGCCACGTTGTGGTGACTTTTAAGCCCCTATGAGGACCATATGGTGGGGTGTATATGGACATGCATTTGCGAGTATCAAACCCCATAAGTGAAAGGTTGTGCTATAGCAGTCTAGACAGTTCGGGATGTAAACTCATCCATGGAGTAAGAACATAATCAATATCGCAGGACACGACCCTGGCTTGAGAGTTACCTGGCTTCTCAGAAAGTTATTCCCCTCCACGTTCATGTGTTCTCCGTGCATGCCTTCCCCAATCTCAAAGTGCCACAAGATAGTGTGCTGACTACACAGCAGGCCCCACTGAGCTTTGTCTAGATCTTTGTTAGGAAAGCGAGAGTCACATTCAGATGATAAGAATGAACTTCGATATCATGAATTGGACTCCAAAACCTAGCTGAAGGCAGAGCTCAGTGGGGCCTGCCCTTGGTCCGATGGTCCTTCCTAAGCTTGTGGATCACGTTGAAGCCCAGATGTTGAGGCACATATAGACATGCAAGGTAAGTATAAGACCACATCCCCATCAGCTTCGAGGTTGCACTCTAGGGGTCTACTTAAGAATGTGGGAATAGAGTCTCAACCCCAGCTTTCCTGCAGGGAGCCCCACATGACAACCCTGGTAAGGGATCGAGACTGTCTGCACTAGTCATAGGGCATGTGACTGTCCCCGCGAAAGTTTTGTGTGCACTCGTCACATGGGATGTACCCAGCCCTGTCACACGTTTTTTGCAAAGGCTACTGATAAATAAGAGCCAGTAGCACTAAGGTCTACACAAGCACAGTCTGTAGGTGTGAGTATAGCAGTATACAAGTCCAAAGAACAATGAGATTGAGTTGCTGAAATTCAGCATGTCAAACTGTCACAAAGGGTCTTACCTCCATCTGGAAGAGGGCCATGTCATCTTCAAACGTTTTCCGTTTTTGTGGAATCATAGCAAAATCCTGGACCTGCATGGTAACAACGGCCACCAAATAAGATCAGCAATTGTATTGCACCTCACTCTAAAACAAAACAGTAGCTAAAGCTCTAAGCAGTTCAAGCACATCAAATGCTCATTGGTCTTTACTGCAAGTTGGGCTTCAGGTGAGTAACCTATGGTTTGGGGCCAAAATCAATTCCCGGTTTCTTAGAAGCCATCAAAGAAAACAAGACACAGGGCCTTCAACAAATTTCCAACATTTTGTGTTGAAGTAGATGCATTCCTGGTCATTGATCCCACATTCGTCGACGGTCGATACCTTACCTTGCCATCACCCCTTGGTGAGGAAGAGGTATTGTTTCTTAGATGCAAGGACACATGTAATTCTTCGCACAATTTTATCACAATATTGACAAGCAGTGAGGCACTACAGGTCCACCTGTCGGGAGTAGGTGACTCGTAAGACTGTTCGATACTTCCACATGTTAGGTGTGCATATGTTAGCAGTTTCACTATCAATTTCGTACTGCCTATCAGTATTATCCATTTGCAGGAATGGCGCAGAAACTTCACGGGGTCTGAACAATCAACGTCGATCCCACCATTGCTCCAGCATCATGGCAGCATGCACAACAGTCCTCAAGAGGTGTTTCGGAGTTGTTCGCAGCACCAAATGAATGGACATCCTTGACTAGACCGTACCTGTATTCTGTGAATTTAACGTTTCTTTATGTGTTCATAATAGGAGTCGAGAAGGTTATGACAGGATTCATGTGCTGCTGCAGTACAGCCCCAGTACCCTGTCCCATTTTCTTCCATACCTTACGGCCGAGGTAGAACCTTCCGGTAGGTACAGTACAGGGAAAAATAGAGATCTGACAGGATAAGACCGGTAGGAAGAGAAGACGGTCCTAGTGGTTAGTAGGTAGGGAGTCGCCACGTGTCCAGTCCCAGTCCCACTGCAGCAGAGACCTGGAGAAGGCCCACAACAGACCGAATCTATGTCTGCCGCAGCAGGGCCCAACAAGAAGAGTCCGGAGTCACTTGGGAGGCAGAGGCACAGGCACAGAAGGGAGGCCAACGTCAGGAATCTCCTCTTCGATTCTCGCAGATGCAGAAGCACTGCCGCATTGCTGGGCAGCAAGATCTTGGACCGTGAACAGTGTCGAGCAAGAGGGTAATCGGCGGCGCTGGGTGCCATAGCTGTGAGCTTGTTTGAGGAAGAGCAACGAGGACATTCAAAGACTGGTCGCAGGACTTGGGCACGGCAGTGAGTGAGAGAGAGAAGCTTGCCTGCTCATCGATGTTGCTGGTGGACATAGATGCAGATCTTGAAAAATCTGTGTATATCATTTCAGCACAAGTGGTCAACTTTTTGCTGAATCTTAATTGTGAAGTGGAAAGAACACAGCAATTTCAAAGTTTTCCAAAATCAGGTTTCAACCCAGGTTACCAGGGAAGCTCCTGGATGTTCGGGATGTCCGACCAGACACCCACCCAGCCATCTACCCGGACATTAGTATGTCCGAGCTACTGCAAACTCGCTAATGTCTTTAAAAAAAATTACAAAAATAACTTCTTTAAAGGTTTGTTTGTTTGTTTTTTTTTTTTTTTTTTTTTTTTTTTTTTTTTTTTTTTTCCCCGTGGGGAGCAGCATGTGCTGGGAATCGGCCCCATCCCATATGAAGACATGTACAAAACAATTTATGAACCAAAGAGGCCATTTATCCGGTTTCGGCTTGAGAGTATCCTCCAAGATCATGAACAAGCTACTGGACTTCAACATTTTCTAAACAGAAAAGTCGTAGATATTACCGATGCGGGCATATCTTGGTTGAGGGTCCTTTCGAAATCCGGAAAATAGTTAAAAAACCATAGTTGGGGCGCACCTCGGTGCACGGATTTGCGCACGATTGCGCACCGCACTGGAAAAATTAGGTCCAAAAAAAAAAAAAAAAAAGGTAGGGGTTTTGTCATTTATTAGGGCCCCCAACTCGGGAAAAATGTTAAACTCACCGCTCTAGCTCGAAAACCGGCCGCGCCCGCGGCCTGAATTTTTTTTTGAGCAAAGGCTGCCGAATTCCGATTTCCGCAGGCCCTTCCCCCAAAAGTTTCAAAATGGCGAAGCATAAAATAGGGCTCATTCCAACTTTTTTTTTAGGCAGGGTATGGAAACTGGCCATCCCCCTCCCTTCTGCAAATCCCGCACAGTGGTGGGGTAAGTTCGCAAGAAGGGGGTAATCGCCTAATAACCACCTGCCCCGCGAAGCTTCACATAAGTCACAAGTTGCATTTTCCATGGCCAGCCGACCACCAATATATGCTGAAGATTGGCGTTCAGGTCTGCATGTCGGCAGTTATGCGTTAGGATGAAGATGCCTGTAGCTCTCTCGTTTTTTGTTTTTTGTTTTCTTACGCATACGTACAGTGGGGCCTGCTCCACTACTCACCACATGCACAAAAGACATAGCATATGGCGTTGTATGGTTCCATGTTTTAGCAGAAGATTCATCCCTATATCCCTGTATACTCTTAAAGGCAACAGCAGGTCTCGCGTAACGCATCCCGCTGAGACCTTTTTCCCGCCCGGGCCCGGTGCACCGTGGGCACGGCGCGGTTTTTTGTTTGCGGCCTTTTTCTTTTTTGGGTTGGTGTTGGCCCGGCTTCGTGGGCACGGCGCGGTTTTTTGTTTACGGCCGCTTTTCTTTTTGGGTTGGTATTGGCGCAGCTTTATGAACAGGGTCTTTTTTCGCTGCAGGTTTGTTTCACGCGGCGCCGTCCATTGCAGAAAGTGCTGTCCGGCAGGCGTCGGCCTTATTCAACCAGGTAGTGTATATTTCCATGTTCTAGTGGAAGATTCATTCGATTTTGCTCATCCTATCAATGTAAGTAGCATGACGCCAGCCGCGAGGTTGGAGA